GTTAGTGAGATAGTTCTGATGAATAGCAATAAGCCAGAGTAAAGAATAATGCATAACATGAATTCCTTAGGAAATCAATTAATATTTTTATAAGCAGTAGTAAAAATATGATCAAGGCTAGCAGAGAGTGAGGTCAGCCTATTTGATTTCAAAATACATTCTTTGTTAGGTTCTGTCTATCAATGTGAAAATATTCTGTGCTCTGTCAAAACCAAAATCTCAGTACCCTTAAGACTTTTATATATCAGAATGTACAAAATTCTAGTTTGGCTACATAGCCTTTGACAGGCACATAACTGTAACTTTTGCAGTACTTTCAGGCTCCTAATTGACTTTTTGTGGATCTCTGAACTTAGTATATTTTCTTCTGAATTATGTATTATGTGTGCAAGTCAAACACTGTATATTTTGTATTTGTTGATAAGGTTCTTGTAAGCAATTCTAATACTGGGGTAAATGATTAATATTTGAAAATAAAAGTGATAGTGTATTCATATTATTTTTACATTTTTTATATCCATCCATTCATCCATCCATCCAATGAATGCTGAACTCCAAATACATGGATTTACTGAGGACAATAATGTCAAGATTATAAAGGCATGTAACAAGTGTAACACTTCAACTTGAATCCTGGTAATAAATCTGCTGGAACCATCATATATCTATCAGGCTTTCTGAGATGTACCGACATTATCATTTAAATGGAAATCCTTGTCCTCATTTATTAGCTAATGTGCACTGCTCTGCAGGTAACAGTTCAGCCTAGTGATACAAGTAGAGCAAAGGATCAGGTAATCTGATTTTCCAATGGACAGTACTATATGTTTGAATAAGAGAGTCATAAATACTAACCTAAGCACCTATTTTAAGAAGCCAATTAAAAACATGAAATCTGTTCCTTCAGATTGTATTGTATGTATCCCTGTTGTATGTATTCACAGGAGTCGTGGATGTATGAAGGACCATCTAGGTGTGTAGTGATAAGCTGACTGACTGGAAGACAAGAGCCACCCAAACCTGGAGTAAGTACAACACATGGAGCTGTGTCTCAAAACTGAAAATGGGTGCTCCTGGTCACATCACAATGCACCTGTAAGGCCTAATTTTATAACATCAAGCACTTCTTGGATACCCAGATAATAAGAGCTGTACTTTTTGAATCTGTTGGTAGGTGAGAAAAAAATTAAGCACAGGTAGACTCACAGATACCTTACATTAAACCCATAAACTACAACTTGACAACCAAAGAGGTTAATGATGGCTAGAGCTTCATCACATCCAAAACTCTATTTTTCCATAGCTTTTTTATTAATGATTTTCCTTGAATCATTGATCATGTAGGATGGGGTGCTTACTACTTCCTGAGATAGCCCATTTTGTTGTTGGTTGTCCCTAGTGTTAGGGCAAATGGTAAGCAGAGATTTATCTTCCTCTAACTTCTACTTTTTGGGCCCTGTTCTGTCTCTAAACAAGCTGAGCTAACCATGATTTCTACCATACGACAGCTTTCCATTACCACCCTTAAATCCAGAAAAGTTTGGCAGCTTATGAGAATGAACAAATCTTAGCAGAACTCAGAAAAAGGGGAAGAAAAAGAAGGAAAAAAGTGAAGCCAGACAAAGAGCTTCAAAATCTGTTTTAATAATGGTCCATTTATATGCTATAGCTAGCATACAAATGTGGCTTAAGGTTATTGACCAGTCACCTTTTAGAGGGACACCGCATTGGTTGTGCAACTTACCATGTCCTCAAGGATAACTTTCCTCAGGACAAGCGTAAGTGCTCCTGTTGCACAGGTCAGCCTGGAATAACCACCATGTTATTTCATAGAAAAGTCCACTAGGATATTCTGAACTGCAGGTATCAAATTTCCTGTATAATGACCACAATGTGAATGAATGATATTCTGACAAAGTACTATGTAAAAAAAGCAACTCTTTGAAGGGCTAAAATGAAGGGCTAAAATTCATAGCCTTTGAAGGGCTAAAATTTATAGATACCTAATTCCCTGCTGTAGATCTAGCTTGATGTGGTTTGATTCCAGAATATTTGGAAGAGAAGATCAAATGATTATCCTGAACAGAGGTTTTAGGTGTTTTTTTTTTTTTTTTAATTCTGGGTCTTTCAAGCAAGCTTTTGATAAGCATTGATTAATCATTTCTTTAAATATTAAATATAATTACATTGTATGCTAGGTACTGTTCTAAACATTTTACATCTATGATATCATTTCATTGTCATAATAGTCTTATATGGGGTTGCTATGATACATCTTATTTTAGAGATGAGGAGACTGAGGCACAGAAAGATTAAGACCACTAGTAGTAGTTGGTTCAGCCAGGATTTGAACTTAAGACATCCAACTCAATCTTCTTTTTAACCCTACAGAGTCCCAAAAAGCAGATTAGTTGGGTTAACAACCTTTTGTGAAAGTTGAGGACTTGAAGGCAAAGGGCAATGATGAGGTCGATTTATCTCTGTTGAGAAGTCACATAATAGGAATCAATGTAAGCCTGAATAAGAGTATGGGGACTGGGGCAAAAGGGCAGGGATAGAAAGGAGAGCATCAAGTTAAGTGGATACTTTAGAAAATTATTCCTCTGTTCTCTTTCCAAGTTCTTCATATTGTAAACCCTGGTGGTTCAGGAAATGCTCATGAATTCTTTGATACTCTTTTCTTTAAGATGGAGTTTAACTGTCTTTTCCTTGAGGGTGGCTGAATCTTGCATGTCAATTCTAATGAATGAAGTGAAGTGGAAGTGAAGCCTTGGAGATCAGGTCACACAGGTGCTGCGACTTTCTCTTTGCTCTGTCTCTTGGATCACTAGTTCTACGTAAGTTAGCTGCCATCCTGGGGAAAAACAGCCTAAGAAGAGGGTCATGTGGTTTGGAACTATGGCCTTTTGCCACTAGCCAGTGAGGAAGTGAGCTTTTTTGTCCTAAACTCATGTGAATGAGCCATTTTGGAAATGGATCTTCCTGCCCCAAACTTTCAGATAAGTGAAGCAACTCAGTTTGACTATGGCATCATCAGAGACCCTGCACCAGAGCTAGAGCCACCCATCTAAGTATTATGGACTCTTGATGCCCGGACTCTGTGGGATAATAAATGCTTATTAATTAAATGGTTAAAATTTGGGGTGATTTGTAAGCAGTAATAGAGAAATACTATACAAACTGACAAGCACACTTCTGAAAACAACAAAACCAAATAAATAAAAATAAAATAAAACTCATTACTTAGAATTTCAAAAGGAAAAATATCCTGAAGACAGCTTTTCTCATTTAGGTAAGGTATGCCCCCAAACTCTTTAACCCAAAGGTATCAAAGCAGTTCAATTCACTCCCAAAGTAATTTTCTATGATTTGAAGCTTAAATTGTATGCTACTTCTTTACTTTGTCACATTGTACAAAAAAAGGGAAGATTTAGCTATTCAAAACTTAAAATTACATAAAACCTTTAAAGTTCTTTAAAGCAAGGTGAACAACAGAATGCAGAAGATGTGCCAAAGAAAGTCTCTTTCTCATAAAGATCATAAAGAAATTTAAGACCTTAAAATCCAGCTTTAGAGAATGGAACAACAGTAGGCAATTAGCAGGCAGAAGCATACAGTTTAGATATTAGTTAAAAACTATTGTGACTCATTTTAATAGAAAACATTCACCAGCATTGTGGTTTCCTAGAATTTGGCAGCTTGCTTAGACCCCACACAATTGGTGCAGATGACACAGTACATGATGATGCTCTTGGCTGGAAAGTGCAGTTTGACATCTGTAATTTCTAAAGCTAGCAATTATAACTTGTGTTTCCATTCTAATGTAATCATGATTATTAATCCAGAGGCATTTTTTTTCTGAGGAGTCATCATGGTATCTCTTTGCTTTCCAACGTCCACTTCCTCTACTTTATGGCTCAGCCCAGGGCTTTGCAACCCCACTGCACGACAGATAGCTTTACTGAGGACAACAGATGTCAACTTACGCATAGATGACTTACAGCTCTCAGCCAAAAATTAGGCCCTGGCAATATGCCTCTGCCATCAACACTCCTTCTACAAAACTCCTCATGAAGTAGCAATTTTAAAAGAAATGTTTTCCCATCAAAATTCAATATCATTTTATAAGCACATACACTTCCTTCCTTTCCTGGCCTGCATGAAATCTAATATCAGGATTATTATCCATTTGTCATTTCAACCTATAATTTAGCAAGGCTTTTTGTGTTTGAGTTATGCTTCCCTCACACCTTCCCTGTCAGCTTGCAGCCATAGATTCATTCAAGAGGCTGCCTGGGTCATATTGGTTGACCTCTTAGAACAAACATTTTCCATGTTTCTTATTCTGCTTCTCTAAGAGGCACCATTAGTTTTGCTCATCTCTATTTAAAATGATTTTTATGGCACAATAACATTTCAGGTTTTCCATATTAATCTTCATTTTATTTCTTGAAATACTTAGGCAAACAATTCTGCTAAGATATCACTGATGGGAAATTCTCTTTCGCCTTTACTCTGTCTACTTAAAGCCAACTCTGAAAAAATAATACATTTTTTCTCTGAATCAGCTGAGCACTGGAAAAAAAAAGTTTAAAACTCTGGTCTAGTAATTCACAATGTCTTAGAAAAAACACTGTGATAAACAATTAGAGCAGAAAATCTTAATATAACTTTTTCCTTCACATCAGTGAATATATATGTTCATACATGGGATCCTATATAAGAATTTAAAGGTCTATTTTCTTTTTTTTTTTAAGATTTTATTTTTAAGGAATCTCTATACGCAAGGTGGGGCTTAAACTCACAACTTTGAGACAAAGAGTCACATACTCTTCTGAATGGGCCAGCCAGGCACCCCTAAAATTCTGTTTTGTTATACATCAGTTCAAAGATATCTGAGTACAAAGGGAAAATGAAAATAAAACAAATATATAATCATTGCCAATTCGCTAAAACAAACACACACACAGTCAACACCCAGAGGTGTAGGTGGTACTTACCCCACAGCCAAGATCATTGCTCCCTTCACAAGTGACCTTCCTCACGCCTGGCTCGGGAAGCAGTCCAGCTCCACAACCAGGGCTGGGGCACAACACGCCCCCCATCTGTAACACACACTCTTCAGCACCATATTGCTGGTATCGGTTGTACTGTAAAAAAAACAACATGAGTTTTGAAGAGTGCTACAATGTGCTATTTTAGCCAAAATATTAATAGCTGGAGGTGTGTGGGCTTTCTTGTTAATCTGTTTTGGTAAAAAATGAGGTGGGGTGGGGTGGACAAGGTATGATCCAACATAAAGGACAAGGCCTTCCCAACTGTCATTGGTAAGCAGATAACTTTGCATTTCTAGGAAACTGGTCCTAAATTCCCCCCCCCCAAGGTTGTTGTTGTTGTTGTTTGTAATACTACTATCAACTGCATTTAACAGTCTTGTTTCATACAAATTTTAGGAAACATATTTACATTTTAAGTTATGGACACATAATGCATCATTATCAATCTCATCAAGTAGTCATTTCCATGCTTCTATTCAGGACTCTATGCCTCTATTTTAAAACCATTTTGAAAATAGGCCCTAATATCCAGCCTACATGATATCTGAGCAATACTGAGCACATTCAGCTTGAAGAGATTCACGTTATTCTTTCATCATTATTCTCTTTCTTAAAGCATGCTTTCTTCTATCCCTGATTTCCTCATGCCATTTCGTGGCTTATCACCCTCTCTGGTTTCCCCAGCCTGTAGCATAAAAGCCACACAGTACAGTTTCCAGGGCCTTCCTATCACTGCCCTGTTATTGTTCTCTTTGTGTTATTTGATCATATTCACTTCTAAACTCAAATCAAGTCAAGTGGATTTGCTCAACTGTAAATTAGTTTATGTGACATTTGGTGACAGTCTACTATATGTCAGACCCTACTGTGGTGCTGGGGATACAATAGTGAATAAAACAGACACCTTTGCTCTCGTCCACATGCCTATAACAACAAATGCTGAAAGGTTATATTTCAGTGGAAAGGAGAATAAAAAGCAAAGAAGAAGCAGATTTTGGAGAAGATAGGGACTATAATTTTGAAGAGGTGATTAGGGGGAAGGGGATGCCTTGTAAAGAAGGTATATGTATGCAAACATCTAAGGGAGACTAGAAAAGCAAACCACATGGCTACCTGTGGGACTGGGCTTTTGGGCTAAGGATAGAGTGGTACCAAGATGCAGAGGCCAGAATGTGCTTGGTGCTCTGAGGTACAGCAGAGGCCAGTGTGGCTGAGTGACAGCAGATAGGGAAATGACAGAAGATGCAGACAGAGAACTTTTGGGGATCTGGGCTATGTAGGTCCCTGAGGGCCATTAGGAGAACTCTGGCTGCTACTCTGAGAAATAGGGGAACCACGGGAGACTTTGGAGCTGTGGGGTGACATAATTTGACTAATCTCTTAAAGACAAGCATCTGGCTGAAATATTCAGAATTGACTCTTGGGTGAGGAAGGATAGGAGGAAGAAGCAGAGGGGCAAGCAGGAGATTTTCAGTGATCCACGTGAGAGATGACAGTGGCTTGAACCAGCAAGCTAGTGGTAAAGGTGGGAGATCAGCTCGGTATATTTTAAAGGTAGAAAAGGCAAAATTTTTTAGGTAGATTGGATTCATGGCCTGTGGAAAAAAAAGGAGTCAAGCATGAATGTAATGTTTTTGCCTGAGAAGATAGGACACACATACACACACACACAGAAAGAGCAAAACAGACTGTATTACTGGGATGGGAAGACTCAGAAGAAGGTGTGTCTGTATATGTGTGAATGTGCATGCACGTCTGTGTGTGTGTATAAGTGGGGAACTGCAAAAAAGAGCCATTTCCACTGTGCTCATCTTCAATTTGATAAACTGCTACACAGCCAAGATTCTGAGTGGCTAATGGAATATATGAGTTTGGAGTTGAGGAGAAAGGTGTGGGTTGTAGATACAAATTTTGAAATCATATGTGCATGGAAGGCTGGGCGGGAAAGGGTTAGCATCAAGCCTTCCATGCATTTTCTCATTTTTCTGGCTCCAGGAAAGAAAGATGACTTGGTCAGATTCTCTTGTAAACATGCTAATGGTACATCCATACAATGGCATTTACTAGAAAAGATTTCTTAACTATGGAATACATTAAGCAGGAAATACTTATGTGATGAATGATTCCTCGAGTGATGAATGATGAGACAGTTTATATAATTGAGAGATGTCATGTCAATGATCATTCTGTGAGCTTCTTGGAGACTTCATTTATTAAGTCTGGCCTAAAGCACACCCTAAGGTGCTGAGAAGTGACCTAGGGAGCCACGCCAAATGACCCACACTTCTCTGTGCTTTTTGGGTACCTCATTATTACCTGTATCCTTGAAGTAATTAGTAAAGCTTGACACAAGGTTACATCTATGATTCCTGCGAGTCTGACTTGACAATCTGACTCTGTGTTCTCAGTAGTCATGAGGCTGGCTGAGACTAGCTAACCTTTTCTAGGAAAGATGAGAAGGAGCCAGCAAAGGGGACTGAGGAGGCAGGTGGAAAATGAAAAGGATGTAGGTATCCTGGAAGCCAAGGGAACGAAATTCTTCTAGGAGGGTGTCATGATAAATTGTCCCAAGAGCTACACAGAAGGCAATTACTGAAAATTGGTTGGAGTCGGAAATGCAGATGTCACTGTGACCTGGACAAGAGCCATTTTCAGTGGAGTCATGGAGCCAAAAGTCTTAGTGGAGTCAAATGGAGTCAAGACAGATTTGGAGGGAAGGAATTCTAAGAGGTGAGAATGGGTACTTCTTCCTGTAGGAGTTTGGCTGAAAAGGAGAACAGAAGCATAGGAGAGCAGCTAAAGGGGGTGGTGGGATTATAAAGGATTTTTTGAAATTGAAGAAATAAGGGAATGAGTGGAAAGAGGAGAGGAGAGTATTGATGATGTCAGCTAGGAAACAAGCTCTGACCTTGGGCAGAGGGAGGAGCAGGATCTCAAGGGTGAGTAGAAGGGTTGGCCTGAAAGGCATAAGGCCGCCATCCTTAGCAAAGGAAGGAAGGGAGTATTTGGGCCCAAGGGCAGACAGACAAAGGAGGTGTTGAAAATTTGAGAAGAGAAGAAAGACATCAATGACCAGGGGAGAGGAAACAGATAGAAGGAGCTAGTATTTTTGCTAGGCAGCACTAAACAACCCATTTGTAGGCAGAGATTATGCATTGAAAGGAAAACCAGTCGGCAGAATTTTATGTTTCTCTACAACACATGGCTGCTAAGTGCAGAGTAGGCAGGAGGTTGGATTTAAGCCAGGTGGTAAGGAATAAGAGATAAGGCACTCCTCGGTCCCTCCCACCCCTACATGGCTTTGGCACACAAATATCCCCTCACACGACTGTGAGTGATTTCAGTAAATATGTTTCAAATCCCTCTGAGGTGTTCAGCTCAGTGCTGTACCACTGGACAGTTCAACCTTTATGCCTATCCAAAATGGGTATGAAGTTTTAGTTTTGTAAGATGAATAAGTTCTGGAGATCTAATGCACAAAATGTTAATACAGCGAATGATACTATATCGTACACCTGAAATTTGCAAGGAGGGTAGGTATTTCAGTGCTTCAGGCTTTTACTTAACATCTGCTATATCTCCTTTCTTCTACACTGGTTCTTAAGAACACAGAGGATGATGGAAGAAAACTATATTCCATAATAGCTCATTTGTTTTATCTCACACACATACAAGGGTATTAGAATAACAATACCAGGATCACTATGAATATGATTACTAAAAGCCTCACATGTATTTTCACATGCTATACAATTTCTCCTGCCAAATTTTTCTAATAATTATACTCTATGTGTATTGTTGAAGCATATGGCCATTCCATACTATGCTTTCTTTTCCTTAATTTTCATGTTATCTTGGGTCTACACACACACACACACACACACACACACAGACACACACACAAATATATCTCATGTTCATCTCCAGTCCTTATATTGGCATCTCTATGGCAATTTTGGTTGTTAGAAGCATGTTCTCCAGTAAATTCCTCACAAGGAGTATATGGGAAAAATATTCACTGAGGTCTTGCATATGTATTGGTGATGGTTCCTTTGGGGCCTTTATTCTTGAAAATGAATTTGAGTGGATATAAAGTTCTGGCCTCCCAGGTTTTCTTCCTTGAGCAACTTCACTGTATTACTTCTTGTGCTTCTGGTGGAAGGCATTATGGACAAGCCTGATGACAATCTGATTATTTTTTCCCTTTACACATTGAGTTGGTAATGTTTTCACCCAGATGCCCAAAGGATATTTTTTTTTTCTTTAGAATCTGGTAGTTTTGTTAGAATGTATCTTGGTGCTGGTCATATTCTGATCAATTTTCATGATTCAAGGAAACTGCATTGAATTTAATTTTCAGTGTTTGCTCTATTTTCTTGCTTTGACATGTTTCTTACAGGATTTCTAGTATACATATATTGGATCTTCTTTACTCACCCTCTACATCTGTCAACTTCTCTGGAATCTGTCATCTCACTTTACTTTCAGGTTTAGAAGTTTCTTCCTTTTCACTTTCTGTTTCTCTTACGACAATATCTGTTATTTATTTGTGTTTGTATGATTTCTTTATCATATTGGTTCCTTTGCAAAGAGTGCCTTTAGTCTCCACCTGACTAACATGCTTTTCTTACCTCTCAGGACATCATTCTCCTCCTCATTCTCTGTAACCTCTTAAAAACTTTGTGTAGGATTTAACCTTGCTTCTTGCTGTTGCACAGTTTTACATGAGATCAGTTCTAAGTAAACTTTAGAAACAAGGAGGATCCAGCATAGCTCTTGGTGGCTCAAGAGCTTCCTCTTCTGGCTTGTGGGGTTCACTTTCCATGAGCTCCCAGCATTATTACCCCACTTTTAACTAGATTTCCTCTTTCCTCATCCCCTTCTCTATTCTAAACACATTTCTGCTCAGTGTGAGGCCTTGTTTCCAAAGATATCTTTGGCTGGTTCAGTTTTGTGAGCCCAGGGGACCCAGATTATTCATTCCCTTCAGATCTTAATGTAGACCTTTTGCACACCCACAACCCCCGAGTGCTTTTTTTGTATTTGTTTCTCCTGAATTTGGTAGAGTATCTTATCCATAGTTAGTAAACAGC